GAAAAGACTCCTAGAGTCATCCCACCCAGATAAAGGAAGAAGCTCTCCCCCTCCTTTGATGTCTGTAGGGGCCACAGCATCATTTAGGAGTCAGGCTTGTTGGGGATTCTGTTTTTGTGCTGGGGATGGTCATTTGCCAAGATGGTCTAATTATTTTTAGGAAAATCGAAGAGATTTCCCCTCCTTTTCGGCTCTTCTTTGCAATAAACCAGGCAACAAAGAAATCATCACATCGCAGGCAAGAAAATTAGGAAACATGACAGCTCATCCCACGACACTCAAGATAGCAGCCTTTTGAAATTCTAATTTAAGCTTCCTAATATGCTGTTTCCATAGAAATGTATGCAAATGTCTCGAAAGTTTATTAAAAACACCCGCACAAAAACCCTCATCATTTTTGGAACTGCTTTGACTCTGCTTGGTGAATTGGAGTTTGGGGACTTAATGGTGAAGGCAGCTTTGTCACCAGGACTGGGCCCGGTTGAGTCGGAGAAGAAAGGGGGAGCAAAGCGGGGAGCAGAATTGTAGCTGGCAGCACAGGTCTTCTTCCCGATTTCTGGAAGCATCCCAACCATGCCCGGACAAAATGCCTCCTTTTGTAGAGTGGAAGTCCCCTTCCTCTCCCTCTGCCACTATCCAGATCACCTCAGCCAGGAGAGCTGGAAGCCACACAGAGCTTCTCTTGCCACGGAACAGCTTTAGACAATATGCCCAGACATGTCACCAGAAATAGACAATATGCCCCAGACACGTCACCAGATAGGGTGTTTCCTAAACACAGTTTGTGCTAAACACTGCTGGCAGACAGGAGGCTGTCCATCTCCAGCTCGTTGCCAGCGTCTCAGGCAGACCACCTGAGAAGCATGCCCATGAGGTCGGAAAGAGGAACCAGGTGGCGGGCAGACAAAGCAGCTATTCAGGCCCTGGCGCTGGCCTCCATGGGCTCTGGAACTTTGCCCAGGACTCTTGGGTTGAGTCAGAGCCCTGGCTTAGCGGAAAACTCAAGTGGGTTCCAGTCTTTCCTGAGGGGGCAGGAGAGGAGCCAGCTGCCTACAAGGGACTGAAGGGTCAGGACATTAGTAGCTGCCACTGCCCCTAGGGCTGGAGCTGCAGCAACACAGGCCATGGGGTGGGGGGTGACCAACTCAGTCACTGGGTGTCCCCTTGGACCCTCCACCTGCAGTCCCACTTCTCTGACCCCACTCAGGCCCATCGGTGAGGCCTTTCCAGAGAGGGGTGAAACGGGGCAGAGCACCACTTATGAAAAGGCCTCTATGAGAGGAGCCGTGGCCTGTCCCACCCAAAAGGTGGCTCTCAGCCACTCACTCTCTAAGCAGCTCGAGTGGAACTCCAGGTAGAATTTGGTCTGAGACTTGGTCTTCAGTGTGGCGTAGCACCTGAGAAACTCGATCTGCCCTTGGCTGTCGGTAGTCCCAGGGCCTGGAACAGAGAACAGGGATTCAGTTCCACAACATGCCTGGAGATGGAGCATTTCAAATCAGCCTCTTTCCAAAAGCTTTTTTCCTCGGGGTCCTCACTCGCTGTACTGAGCTCCTCCTTAGGGTCCGAGGAAGGTGAGAGTCCAGGTGCAAGGAGAAGTTTTCCTTGAAGTGAAGCTACAGTGAAATCCACCACCCACCAGTGCACTGAGCATCCCCAAGAGCAGTCACAGCCTCTCTGATGAATTGTGGGCTGACAGCCATGGAGCACACAGCTGAGAGAGCCAATGTCCAAGGAGTCAGACCTGGTCCCAGCTGGGTGGCCTCAGGCCAAGCCCTGAACCTCGCTGCCTCAGTCTCCCCACAAGTTCCGGCAAAGAGAGTTTGTGTGAGGGCCCAGTTGCTCAATATCCAAACCTATTCAGTCTCTGTGTTCTCATAGTGAGGGATACCTGCTCTTTCTTCCTTAGGCAGTTATCCCCACAGCTTACTCTGGGCTTCATAAACTCATCTGTACTCAGTTTAATTTGCTTGTAAGTTTTGTTAGTTTTGATGATGCTTTTGCAAGTGTCCTCAAGCTGGGTTTAAACAAATGTTCTGTCCTTCCATATAAATTCTGAGCCATTTGCAAGTCGGCACAAATATTTCCTCCCTCCATCCCTTTCCTTCTTCCTTCTTTCCTTTCCCTTTTTAAGTCCCACAGCACCTAGGCTCAGGTAGACATTCAGTCCATGCTCAATCCGGGTAGTCAGTATTTTCAAGCATCTGCTATGTACTGAGTCCCAGTGGAGGGAGGCTAAGCCTAACACTGAGGACGCTCTACTTAGAACAGGGGAGAAATGGAATGGGCTGCAGGAACTCAGAGGAAGGAGAGATGGGTGGGAGCTGGGAAAGAGGTGGAGCCTAAAGGCCAGGAAGCTTCTAGAAGAGCACAGTGGCCAGAGTAAGGAAGGAGGCAGTGTGGTGGGCCAAGGTTTGGGTGGGGAGAGAAGGTTCCATTGCTGGGGGTGTGGATATTAGACTGAACAGTCTAAGAAGAGCATCCCAGGAGGACAGTGCTCCAGCCTGACCTATGGCCCTCCGGCATGAGGGACCCAGAGCAAGACAGTCTTCCCAACCTGTATTTGGGTCCCCCCCACTCAGCCTTCCTAAGTGAGCCCGGATTGTCTGCTGACCACAGAAGCTGGGAGCAGAGATGATAACACAGCTACCCGGTTACCCAGGCCAAGAGCTGGACGGACATACTACAGAGAGTGCCTGGCCCTTGCTGGGATGAGGGTGGCCTGGCAACCAGGGCTGAGCTGGATTATTTGAAAAATTACCTGCAAATCTAAAGATTATTTAATCTAGTGTTTCCCAAAACTCGGTCATCTGTATTCTGTCTTCGTAATTTCTACTATCTCCTCCCACCATGTACCTGCACTATTATTTACTTAATATATTCTTTAAATAGACTTACTTTTTAAACTTAAATGTAATGAAATAAAGTATGTCACAATACTAAATGGAAAACCCGTGTTGCTTGCCTTACACAGGACAAAGGTAAAACATACTAAAATAAATGCATTACTAATAAATGTTCATCCACATCCCCCTCTCCCCCCAAATCGTCTTTGGTGGTAGACAGGCCACATCTTGGAAAACACCATTTCCCTGATTTTTCGGGCTGCACTAAAACCACTCCTCAAAAGGCTGACATATTTGCCATCCAGAGCAAGTAAATTCTCTGGACTGGAATCGTGATGTGGTTTGGACATGCAGAGACCTGGATGGACTGTGGGCTTGCCTGGGAAGACGAGCCTGCACCTAATGTAGACAGCTGACTGCTGCACCAGGAGATGAGGGCCCAAGGCCCCGTCTTCAAGGAAAACAGAAACAGGCACCACCCATTACTTACCATTCTTGGATACAAACTGGGAGGTGACTCCTGCCTCAAACGTGGCAAAGACAGGGCTGTGGTCACTCGTCATGATGTCACTGGTACTGCCTGCAGGAGAGGGAAGGCATTTCTGAGTGGGGAGAAGCCCTTCTGGTCAAGCCGAGGATGGCAAATCCATGGCAGAAATAAAATGACATTATGGAGCCCTCCAGAAGGGTCCTGGTTTTGCACCTGTTGTCCCGTGGCCCTTGCACCACCATGCTAAATGATTCAGTGAAAGATTGTGTGTACACTGCCTCCTCCGTGGACAAAGTGAGACTGTGCTAGGTTTTCCTGAAGACTTGTGAACTTCTTCTTCTTTTTTTTTTTTTAAAAAAAGATGACCGGTAAGGGGATCTTAACCCTTGACTTGGTGTTGTCAGCACCACGCTCAGCCAGTGAGTGAACCGGCCATCCCTATATGGGATCCGAACCCGGGGCCTTGGTGTTATCAGCACCGCACTCTCCCGAGTGAGCCACGGGCCGGCCCGTGAACTTCTAAATAGATTATGGAGTGTTAGCAATGGAGATTTTTCTTGTCCGATTACTTTGTTTTACTGATGAGGAGCCCAAGGCCCAGACTGGGATAGGAACTTAAGGACATTCAGCTCATCAGTGAGAGAGACAGGACACCTTCCCCATCCCACGGTGTCTCGAAGGATCAGGAGAGACTGGAAGGTGACGAAGCGTAGACACTGAGTATAGACAGCTTTTTTGAAGAGCTTGGAGCTTGGATAAGAAGGAAAGGCAGCATTTGGAGGGAAAAGTGAATGAAGACAGTTCTAGAAAGACTGAGTTCTTTTGAGATAGCCAGTTGGAGATGTCTGGCAGGAAGCTGGGTTCTTAAGGCTGGAGATTTAATGTTAGCTTTGGAGTCATGAAAACAGGTGGGAGCAGAAGCCCTAAGGATGTTTGGGTTTCCAGGGGATAATTATTACGTTGCAGTGCAAGACGAGCTGGGCTGCGTCCACTCTTTCAGGTCACCTGACTAGGGCTGCAGGGAGTTCTCCCATTTCACGGATGGACAGACGGAGGCCCTTTAGTTTCAGGGCTGTCATACCTCCCAGCTTGGTGCTCTTCTCTGAACCTGCCTGCCTTCACTCAGGGTTTCGACTCACCGTAGGACTGACACACCACGTGCACCATGGGGTAAGACTTCCAGAGGACTCGGTCGCACCAGGAGGGCAAGTTGTACTTCATCTGTAAAGCAAGCGATGGGCTTTGAAAAATGCCTCTACTTTGTTTGTTTATTTGTTTCACGGCTGGTCAGGTACATCCTTGACCTTGGTGTTATCGGCACCACACTCTACCAAGTGAGCTAACTGGCCGGGCTGTTTGGTTTTAATTAGTAAAAGAAAAGATTAATTGGTGGCCGCCTCTGCAATCCTCAAATTCACCTGCCTTTGGCTCTTTACAGAATTTCTCTAGAGGTGGCTTTATGTCCTGACTCTACTGCCACGCCCCACACTTTCAGACATCCTGGACCCCCGCTTTAGAGTAAGATCAATTCACCTTGCTGTGTTCCCTCCCCTGTCCTCACTACCTCGGGGTCTCTTGTATGTCTGCTTTCTCTCACTTTCTTTCTGACTCAGATGAACCCTTTACCTGTTTTCAATTCGTCTCCACTCACCTTTTCCAGCCGAGTACTTTAATTGCTTACTCCGGTCACCACCCCCACCCATCCAGCCATCCACCCCCACGCCCGTCCCCCTGCTCGTCTGCTCACCCACCTACCCACACATCTACCCGACTATTCAGCCGCAGTCCACGTTCTCTTCCATCTGTCTCCCCATCCACCCATCTACCCTTCCAATCATTCAGACACGGACCCTCAGACTGCAATGCTGAACACGACGTCATGGGGTGTGACACACCAGGTAGACTGGCGACGGTAACAACACCCCTTAACATCCCTGCCCCCCATGTTCTAGCTTTCTTCTCTACCACAAACATAAAGGTTCTCGTCCTGAAACAGCCCACCTCTGCCATCTCCTCCAATTACTTTTTTCTTTCTTTTACCAATTTTCTTTCAAGAATGCTCCGTTTTCACTGCCTCTATTTCTGGATTGCCCACTTATTTACTTGTACAATTTATATTCAGTAAACTAACCTTAAGTGTGCAGATTGATGAATTTTTACATTTGTATACACCCGTTTAACCACTACCCAGATCAAGACCCAGAAAAATTCCATCATCCCACACGGTTCCCTCATTTCCCTTTCTTGTCTATACGACCACCTCCTAGCAGTGAACACTGTGGTGACTAATGACTCCATTGATTATTTTTGCCTACTCTCTTACATAAATGGACTCGTTCAGTGTATAATCTTTTGTATAATCAATGTATAAAAGTATAATCACCCATACTGTTGCTTCTAAAAAAGTTTTTTCATATTATTGCTGAAGCAATAGTATTCCATTGCACGGACATACCACATTGACCTACTCTCCTGAGCATGGACACAGGGTCGGCTCCAGTCTGGGGGATTATGAACAAAGCTGCTATAAATATTCTTGTACCTAACTTGTGGTGAACAAATGTACCAATTTTTCTTGAGTATACACCAAAGTGGAGTTACTGAGTCATGGGGTAGGTGCACATTTCGTTTTCATAGATGCTGCCAAACGGTTACTTCTTAACATCACAGTTCTCGGCATTGGCTGCTCCTGAGAATTCCCTGCGGAGCTCTATAAATATACATAAATCAGGGCCCCACCCACTCTATTGCATCAGAATCCCTGGGGATGAGGCCCAGGCATCAGCATTTCTGAAAGGCTCTACCAGTGATGCCCACCCTTACCCTCTTGCTGCTTGGATTTCCCCTCCCAGGCTCGACTTGGACCATTCTTTCAAGTCCACCCTAACCTCTGAACTGCTCGCTCAAGCTCAGTGGGCATGGTGCTCGAACTCACATGCACACTACTGGCCACCAAGCCTTCCCGAGTCTCTGCCACCAAGGAGCATGCTGGTCCTCCTCCCAGCAACTACAGCATTCTTCCTGTGTCTCCTTCACTGTCTCTGCTTCTTCCTTGATCTTGACAATCTCACCTCCTCCCAAGGACATGACTGTCTTTTCTTTTCTTTTTCTTGTTTTTTTTTTTTGTTTTGTGACTGGTAAGGGGATCGCAACCCTTGGTGTGGTGTTGTCCGCACCGCACTCAGCCAGTGAGCGCACTGGCCATCCCTATATAGGATCCGAACCCTCGGCCTCGGCACTCCCAGTGCTGCTGGGCTCCCAGCGCTGCACTCTCCCGAGTGAGCCACAGGGTCGGCCCAGGATGTGACTGTCTTTTCTGTGCAAATAGCTCCCAGATCTATGACCCCTGACATCTCTCTTTTGCTTCAGTCTAATACTTTCACCTGCCTTCTGGATATTTCCTCTGAGATTTTTCACTAATGTTGAGCAATCAATAAGTCTGAAAACAAGTCCCATATATCCTGCTTTTCATGGTTTATGGTTTTTCTCCCTGGTTCCCTACTTCTCAGCAGGAGACACTAGGACAGTCTGCTCACTGGTCCCCCTGCATCATCCTCATCCTTTACAATGATGCCAACCAAAATTCTTTGTATGCCACTCTGATGCCCCCAGTCCCTCAGCAGAACTTCCAGTGGCTTCCTGTTGCCTCCCATCCCCTGGCATGCAGGACCGCCCACTCTCTCATCTCAGGCCCTGGTCTGTTTCCACTAACAAGTCAAACTCACCAGCCCGCAAATGTGTCCACACAGACCGACCCTAAGAGTGCCTTTAACTAAACCAGGTGACCCCATCGACCCAGCAGTCAGTGGGCACCTCTTAAAAGGATGTCCTGTCCTAGGAGTCTTAGCCTTTTTCATGGCAGCGGGCCTGGATCTCCTCCCCTTCTCTCAGTTTTGTTCTTTTCCTCTCCTGCTCTGTTCTGGAATCCACCCACTGCTTAGTCTTTCTCTCCACTTCAGTTCTTCACTCGCCCCCGAGCCCAGGAGATGTCCAGGACTCTTTAGGACAACACTCTGAACTCGCTGTCCATTTCCTTAGGCTTCGAGCGGCTCCTCTAACCCTCAGGACCCTGCATGGTGGGCCCCCTGGGAGGTGATGGATGCCAGAATTTCCTGCCTCAGCAGCACCTGCTCCAGCAGTTCTTTCACCTGAAACATACCAGCCCCCCTCACCCCTTGTCATGGCGGCCTGTCGAAATGCAAGCTGCCCTTCAAGGCACCTCAAATGGGACTCTCCAAGAAGCCTCCCTGTCCTAATGGTCAATTGCATTTGGCAGCATCACATTCTGTCTCCGGTTACAGCTAGTGTTTAGCTTGTCTTGCTTTTTCTACTGTAAACCCCATGGGATAGAAATCTTACTCATCTCTGATTTCCCATCACCTAGGTGAGCACCTAACCCATTATAGGCCATGAGTAAATATCTTTGAATAAATGAAGAAGTAAATGTTTTATCGGATCTTTCCCCAAACACTGTTCCTTGGAATACAAGTGGCCTCATAAGGTATCAATTGACATTCTGTGACCAGTTGAGCTTGGCACACGGATTTCCTCATGGAAAACCATAACACTCTTAAACCCATAAAGGCTCTGAGAAGTCCTGTAGTGAAGACACCTGTTTCATGTTCATTCACTTGGCAGTTTAGCAAATTCCTTTGATCACAGAATCAAATGAGCTTCAGAACCCAGTTAAGGGGCCGGCCCGGTGGCGCAATGGATAGTGCGCCGCTTGGGAAGCGTGGCGGCGCTCCCGCCCGAGGGTTCGGATCCCACAT